CGATTCTCTATTTTGCTTTTTTGAACATCCGGTTGAATTTTTTCAAAGTTTGAAGGGTCATATCTCGTGATCTTGAACTTTGATGACCTTGACCTTCATAAGGTCAAAGGTCATTGACCTTAGTTATCAGTTAATACTTTGACATTTGACCTCCGACATGTACTTCCGGTTTTATAGCTGTCCGAAAACAGCCAAATTCGCAACTTTGAACTACTCTAGCACGTGACCTAATTAACCTAGAGGGTTAATTTTTTCGGATTCTTAATGTGCTTTTCATGCTCTTTCAAGTGATTTATAACAATCGTTTTTTAAAGCAAAATTGAAATTCGTGAATTTTTCAAATTTGAGTTTTTTTTACAATATTTCTGTTTCTTTGAGCTTGGTGTGTATATATCTTATGACCTATTTTATGTAGAACATTGAAACTTGGAACACAACAAGACAATTTGAATATGAATTAACCTATGACAAAAAAGTTGAGGTGGGCGTGGCACATCCGGGTTGAATTACTAATTGTTTACATTTTGGGAAAGGGGCATAACTCGCATAGGATACATTTGTTCAAAAAGGAACTTTGCACACAATTACCTCATGATTTTGGCCAGTTTTTGTTAATAGGTCAATTGTTTCAGCTTTATAGTTCCAAAAAAGGAACGGGTTTTGAAATTTCTATATTTTCAATTTTCTATTTGGACCTTTATTGACTCATGTTGACCTATATCTTTTGACCTGTATGATGTAGAAGCTTTAAATTTGGAACACAACATAACATTCAGAATATCAATTAACCTATGCAAAAGAAATTGAGGTGGGCGTAGCACATCCGGGTTAAATTACTCATTATTGACAATTTTGGCAAGGGGCATAACTCGCAACGTTTACATTTGTTCAAAATGGAACTTTGCATACAATTACTTCATTCGTTGAGCCACGTTGTCTTAGAAGTTCGATTGTTTCAGCTTTATAGTTCAAAAAAAGGAACAGGTTTTGAAAATTCAAAATTTTCAATTTTTGACCTTGACCTTTTTTGACCCTGATTTTTGTAGGATCAAAGGTCATTCACATTGGCTATCTATTTATACTTTTATATTTGCTGTCCTATCTCAACTTCCGGTTTTATAGCCGTATATAATTAAAAATTTGGATGACTTGTATCTCGTAACCTTGACCTTTGTTGACCGTCTCCCTTTCAATGTCAAATGTCATTGACCTTGGCTATCTTCTGATACTTTCATTTGTGAGGGCTGTTTACTTCCGTTATAACAATCTTACAAACAATTCTTCTCAACTTTAGACTGCTCTTGCGCGTGATGTAATTATCGTAGAAGGTTGATTTTTTCAGAGTCTTTTGCATTTTGCTACATTTGCAAAGTCCCACTCTGTGCCACGTGTGGCTCTAGTATTTCTTTGTTTCTGAAATTTTCCCTGTCTGAATTTTGGTCTTTTTTACAAAGAGCACACAGCTTCAACTGTGACAACTACATCAAATCTTAAAAACTGGTATTCTTTACTTTTTGACGATGTATGCCTTAAATGTATATTGGAACATTTTTGCAAAACCGGAAGTGCTACGTTGAAACATGTGCAAAAAATACAAAATGGGCTCTAGAAGTCGCAAATTTCAGTCGATTTTCTTCGGGTTTTCATTTTTGGAATCTACAAAGAATATCCGAACTGATAGCAGTACAAAAAATTCGAAATTCGAAAATTCGTAGCACACTTTTTTCAGTCGAATTTTGCAATTTTTGACTTTTTTCGCCAATTGATCTTAAAATTTATGTGTGTAGACAACTCGCCAAAATAAAAAAAATTGCTTAATCAAAATTTTTGTATCACTTCCGGCTAACTCGTGAAAATGATTTTGACTTCCGGTTGAATAGCTTCCGGTGTAATTGATATATCTCAACAAAATGTATGCTGATCAGTAGTCATTTTTAACACAAAAAAAACGAAGAAAAAAAAAATCCGGACCAGAAGTCCTACTTTGGCCGCCATATTGATATGATACACTTTTGTAAAACTCAAAATGGGGCCTTAGGGTAGAGATGAATGTGAGTAATTTTGATGTATTTGTTAACTGCAATCGAGTACCCAAAATTGCTTGGAAGCCGATTTTTGAATTTCGTTTTTGCTTTTTCCCAATTTCCGGTTGAATTTTTTCGATGTTTGGAGGCTCATATCTCATGACCTTGACCTTTAATGACCTTGACCTTCATTGGGTCAAAGGCCAATGACCTTGGCTATCACATGATGCTTTGAAATTTGGCATCCGATATCTACTTCCGGTTTTATGAGTGTCTGAAAACAGCAAAATTCGCAAGTTTGAACTGCTCCAGCACGTGACCTAATTAACCTAGAGTGTTAATTTTTTCGGATTCTTAAAGTGCATCTCATGCTCTTTCCAGCGATGTATAACAATCCTATTTTTAAAGCAAATTGAAATTCGTATATTTTTAAATTTTTATTGTTTTTCACAATATTTTTGTCTCTTTGAGCTTAGTTTATGTATATCTTATGACCTATTTCATCTAGGATCTAGAAATTTGGAACAATACTAGACATTGTCAATATGAATAGAACTATGACAAAATAGTTGAGGTGGGCGTGGCACATCCGGGTTAAACTGCAAATCGTTTAAATCTGGGGTAGGGGCATAACTCGCATAGTTTATGTTTTTTCAAAAAGAGACTTTGCACACAATTACATCATCCATTTGGCCAGATTTTGTTAAAAGCTCAGTTCTTTCAGCTTTATAGTTCAAAAAAAGGAACGGGTTTTAGAATTTCCATAATTTCAATTTTTGACCTTGACCTTTGTTGACCTTGACCTTTCTAGGATCAAACTTCATTGGCATTGGCTATCTATTTGTACTTTTATATTTGCTGTCCTATGTCAACTTCCGGTTTTATAGTCGTGTGCAATTTGAAATTTTGATGACGTATATCTCTTGATCTTGACCTTTTTAGACATTCTCTTTTACAAGATCAAAGGTCATTGACCTTGGCTATCTGCTGATACTTTCATTTGTGAGGTCTGACGTTTACTTCCGGTATTAGAATCTTCTAAAAAATGAAAATTTCTCAACTGTTCTTGCACATGATCTAATTATCGTCGAAGGTTGATTTTTTCGGGGTCTTTTGCAATTTGCTACATTTGCAAAGTCCCACTCTGTGCCACGAGTGGCTCTAGTTGTTTTTGATATTATATTTCCTTATATGGCAAGCTATCACTGTCATTGTGTTTATTTCAGTATTTTATATGAGGGCAAAGAAAGACTAATGAGTGGATGTGAAGTAGTGCACACTACACCTTATGGTCACCCAGCTAATGTTAACAATAGTAATAATAATCGAATCTATATTACATATCGAAGAGCATCTGAATCAGCATGTAGTGATACTTTAGCAGTTGTGGATATCTGTATTATTTTATTTAATAAGGTAAGTTTATCCAACTTTTGTAAGTAAAAGATGTCTCTCTGGATCTGTGGCATTCAGTTTTGAGTATTTAACTTTATTACAGGAGCCTACATGAACTTACATAGAATGAGTTCTTGCCCTTGTTCTTGAAAACATGTTCAATTTTTAGCTCGTAACACTCTAGAAGACACAATTCTTGACGGATTTTGATGAAACTTGGCATGAGTCTTTGTTATCACCCAAGGATAAAGTCTATTGAAAATCAGAAAATTATTTAGTATGAGTTATTGCCCTTGTTCTTGAAAACGCGTTCAATTTTTTGCTTGTAAACACGCTAAAAGGTACAATTCTTAACGAAGGATAAACTCTATCGAAAATAAGAAAAATGGAAATATGTTTCATAGGAGTTATTGGCCTTGTTCTTGAAAATAATTTCAAATGTTAGCTCTTAAACAATAATCTGCATGATTCTTGCCGGATTTTGAGAACACTTGGTTTTATTATTCAGTCCCACGCTGAAGATTGAATATTTGAGTTTTCACGAGCTAAAAATTGAACCCCTTTTCAAGAACAAAGGCAATAACTCACACTCAATATTATTCATTATTGCTCTAAAGAGTTCAAAAGAGGTGTATGGCTGAAGGTTGAATATTTCATACTGGTAATTGTAATTGTACAGCTAAATATTTTTATTTAAAATCAAAGCTGCCAGTGGGCTTATATTACCTTGCCTGGCAAGCTATCTTAAAATAAGCCTTAAGCTATGTAAATTAATTATATTTATCATACAACAACAGATGTTGGAAACATAATGTAAACAAGATGAATTAAGTTGATTTACTGCAATTGTACATTAAATGGCTGAAATTGTTCATTGAACACACTGCTTTGTTTTCGAAATGACTATTTTTTTTTTTTTTTTTTTTTTTTTTGTCTACTTCTGGTCACGCTCCCCAACCAAAACTGCACATGTCACACATTGTCTGACACTATTATTTTTTATACCATGCGTGTTGCTGTTGTTTAAATGTAAAATAAGCCATTTTCTTCCAACAATTGCGTTCCAATTTAACAATGTACACTTCATCACAGACAAATTAAAATTTTTGACATGGGCGTGGCACATCCGGTGTGCATTTACCGTTACCTGAAATATTTGCAATTGTTATAACTCTCATAGTTTTCAATTGTCACCCTAGAAATTTTGCATGAAAATAGATCAATACTTAGGACAATTTGTGATAAGATTACAGTTGTTTGCGTTCTTTACTTTAAAAAAGGGAACAGGTTTAACAATTCTATAAATTTTTTGATCTTTAACATAAATGAGCTTGACCTTTGCATGGTCAAAGGTCATTGACTTAGGATGACCATTCTTACTTTGATCTTTGATGTCCGATATATACTTCCGGTTTTGTAGACGTCCAAAACAGCAATTTTTGAAAAGGCTCATATTACTTTTAATTAACCTTTGTTGACCTCTTGACCTGAACAAAAGTTGTTGTCCATTACGAGATATATCCGATAATATCAACACTTTTGTTGTGCATCGTTAACTTCCGGTTTTACAGCCAATTGAAAATCGCGCTTTGTAACTTTGAAGAGCTCTGTCATGTGACCTAATTTACATACGTGAAAATTTCTTTTATGTCCTTATTACACGCAATCTAATCTTTCAAATGATTTATAACATTTTGATTAAAATTGCGCTTTTTAGAAAATTTTGTATTGACCTCTATAGTAACTGTGCGTAATTTTAACGATGTCTATAATCCACTGACAGTCACTGTTGCCTTAAAAAACTTTTATCTACGATTATATCTCATGATCTAATGATTGTCAACACTTGAAATTTTGAACATTATTTGATGTTGTACACATAAGAGACAAAACAAAATTTTTGAAGTGGGCATGCCAAATCCAGGTTTAACTTAAATATTTCAAATTGTTACAACTCCCAAAGTTTGCATTTGTAACCATGGAAATTTTACATAAAAATAAATCACTATTTAAGACACTAAGTGATAGAGTTATATTTTGTTTGGGCCTTTTACTTAAATAAAGGGAATAGGTTTTACAATTGATAAAATTTTCATATTTTGACCATTTACATGCATGACCTTGTTCATTACAAGGTCAAAGGTTATTGATCTTTGATGTCTATTCATACTTTTATCTTTCATGACCGACATATATTTTTAAAACTTATATCTCTTTTATTTGACCTTTGTTGACCTCTTGACCGCAACACAAGTTATTGTATTTGATGAGACCTTTCCAAAAGTATTTTCATTTTTGTTGTACGATTTGTCCTTTTCACTTTACAGATATTTGAAAATTCGTCTTTTAACTACCGAATTATAACACCTTTTAGTACCGAATGGTATCAAATTCCTGCGTCTTTTCACTACCGATGTTTTGACTATTGAATGTTTACATGCTTTTCTTTTCGGGAGAACGTTTTATCGCTGTATCAGGTTGGATGCGCACTGCTTCGGTACCGTTATAACGGTTCTAGTATGTTATTATTATTTGAATAAATGACAACATTCATAACTTTTCATGACCATGCTTTTATTTTTTCAGTCTAGAACACATACAATCGGCCTATTTTATCAACTTGTGGTTAAGTCATCCACTGAAATATTGATGAATAATACTTACAATCTAGTTTATTACACGTTTCGAGTTAAAAATCGTGTTAATCTTTGTTCAGACAAACAGTATGTTACTGGTCCCTGTAGTTTCTGCCTTTATGCATTGCTTTTTTTTGTCTACGGAATCACATCGAAATGTGGGTCTTTTTTTTTAATTTCAGAATGTAGATCTAGTCTTGAATGTTAATTTCAGAATGTAGGCCTATTGTCATGAAATGTTATATTTTTTTTTATATAGGCTTAGATCTAATAGATCTATTAGATCTACAAGACAAATGACATTGAACAATTTTTTATACGCTCACATGGAAATGTGGTTCAAAAGTAGCAGACAGCAGGCGAAAACCACTGTTTAAAATCCAACCTGATACATCGATAACACGTTGCATTTTAAAGTCACAATGAGATTTCTTACCAGAAAGAAAAGCATGTAAACATTCAATAGTAAAAAAAAATCGTTTAAACCGTTTAACCGGTAGTGAAAAGACGCATGGATTTGATACCATTCGGTACTAAAAGGTGTTAACATTCGGTAGTAAAAAGTCGAATTTTCAAATAGCTGTAAAGTTAAAAAAAACAAATCGCACAACACAAAATGGAAATGTTTATGGAAAGGTTTTGTCAGATACTATAACTTATGTTATGGTCAAGAGGTTAACAAAGGTCAAATAAAAGGAATATAAGCCTTAAAAGTGTTGAAAAATTTCCTGTTTTTTAGGACGTATGTAAAGGCGAAAATCTATGTCGGACATCAAAGATAAAAGTATGAATGGACATCGTAGATCAATAACCTTTGACATTCTAAAGACCAAGGTCATGCATGTAAATGGTCAAAATATCAAAATTTTATAAATTGTTAAACCTATTCCCTTTTTTAAAGTACAAGGCCCAAACAAAATGAAACTCTATCAATTATTGTCCCAAATAGTGCTTTAATTTTATGTAAAACTTCGATGGTGAAAAATGCAAACTTTTTGAGTTATAACAATTTTAATTATTTAAGGTAAAGGTAAAAGTAACCCGGATTTGCCACGCCCACTGCAAAAATTTTGTGTTGTCTCTAATAATGTGTACAATGTCAGATAATGTTCAAAATTTCAAGTGTTTATAATCATTAGATCATGAGATATTTGTAGTTAAAACTTTTTAAGGCAACGGTGACTGTCGGTGGATTATAGAAAACGTTACAATTATGCACAGTTGCTATAGAAGTCAATATAAAATTTTCAAATTCTAAAAAGTGCAATTTTAATCAAAATACCAAGTGTTATATATCATTTAAAAGAATAGATTGTGTGTAATGAGATCATAAGAGAAATTTTCACATATTTAAATTAGGTCACGTGACAGAGCTTTTTGAAGTTTCGAAAATTGCTGTTTTCGGACGTCTGTAAAACCTATTCCCTTTTTTAAAGTAAAGATCACAAACAACTGTAATCTTATCACAAATTGTCCTAAGCAGTGATCTACTTTCATGCAAAATTTCTAGGGTGACAATTGCAAACTTTGCGAGTTATGACAATTGCAAATATTTCAGGTAAAGGTAAATGCACACCAGATGTGCCACGCCCACTTCAAAAATTTTAATTTGTCTGTGATGATGTGTACATTGTTAAATAATATTCAAAATTTCAAGTCTTTACAATCATTAGATCGTGAGATATTCGTAGTTAAACTTTTTTTTAGGGCAACGGTGACTGTCGGTAGATTATAGACACCGTGATTTTATGCACAGTTACTATAGAAGTCAATACAAAATTTTCAATTTTTAAAACGCGCAATTTTGATCAAAATATCAAGTGTGATATATCACCAAAAAGGAGATTTTATGCACTCAAAGAATATTTAAGAATTTTTGTCGTATGTTAATTAGGTCACGTGACAGAGCTCTTCAAAGTTAAAAATGGTGATTTTCCAATGGCTGTAGAACCGGAAGTTAACGATGCACAACAAAAGTGAGGATATCATCAGATATATCTCGTAAGGGGCAACAACTTTTGTTCAGGTCACAAGGTCACCAAAGGTCAAAGTCACTAGATATGAGCCTTAATATTTTTGACAATTACTGAAAACATCAAACGGGAAATAAAAAAAATACGAATCCAAAATTCAAAAATCGGCTTCCTAAGTTTTGTTAGCAATCGATTGCAGATTCTTTAGACACCAAAATCACACAAATCAGATTTACCCCTTAAGCTTAATATCGATTTTTACAAAAATTGGTCACATCAAGATGGTACTAACCATTACTTCCGGTTCAAATTTGTTCATTCCAAAATTGTTATAGGGACAATTTTAACTAATTACAAAAATAATTTTTCAAATACCTACAAAATTCCGGAAGTTGAAATTTCAAGTTTAGAGACGAATGACGTCAAAACCGGAAGTGAT